TTTGATATGAAAGGAAGGTTGGAGATTGGCCTATAATTAGCTAAGACTGCTGGGTCTAGAGATGGCTTTTTGAGTAAAGGTTTAACTAGCCACCTTGAAGGCCTGTGGTACATAGCCGATTATTAGAGATAGGTTGATCATATTTAAGATCGAAGAATTAATCAATGGCAGGACTTCTTTGAGCAGTTTTGTAGGAATGGGGTCTAAAAGACACGTTGATGGTTATTCGCACGTTTACCTGCAAACATCAATAATCTAAACTCATTGCTGCCATTAAGTATTCACACATGTAATAGAAGAAAACAACAGCAGTAATTATTATTATAATAATAATATGTTTAATATTAAATATTTGAAGAATTTAACAAACGCTGAATCCAGTTTTAAAGTATGAACATAGATAAAAAGGTTTCAGTCCCACACGGGTGGGGGGTAAATTAAATAAGTTATTTATTTAAGCTGTTAAACCCCCAAAACAAAGAGAAAAAAATCTGTGAATCCAACTTTTGGTTTTTCCGTCTCTTATCAGCACTCGAGGTGACGTCCCGGTTAGTGTGTGTAGCCACATCTAAACAAAGACAATGCTGAACATTTCATTCATAGTTTCACTTTCAGCTGAACCACCCTCTCAGCTGGATTTTGCCTCAGGTCAAAATAATCAAAAACGAAAATACAAACATAGTTAATATGGACGATATATAAAACACAATCTATAAAATGCCACGCACTGGTTTCTGGACTTTGATTTCTGTGAAGCTTCAGTGTTAACATTTTGACCACTGCTGTGTTGTCTTTTTGGTATTTTTGGTATTTTTTTGGTTTCTTTTGTTCTTTGAGGCAGAACCCACATTATTGCACCACACATGTTGCCTCCACAGCTTTAAGTTATTACACTTAAACTTTGTTAAAAATATGTTTTAAACTGGAACACTTATAAAACTAGAGTTCACCAAATAGAGTCAACAGTAGAAAAATCTGACTGTGCTTCAGCACAACAAGAATAAAAAGCATTTCAAAAATGTACCTGCTGATCCACTTTAAATGTCGTCTGAGCAGAGAATCACTTTTGCTTTGCTGTGAACTGTACAGCACAAAAGCACTGACGATGCTTTCACTGGTATTTAGAGAATTCAGACAGCTCTGACCCTTCAGTCTCACTTCACTCGGTGAAAAACATTTATAATGGATCATTTATTTCCCCATTATACTGTCTGTATTCACACACTGAAAATGGACATGGATGATGCTGTTCATGGGCTGCAATCTGACTGGATGACGTGTGGGCCAGAATAGAGAACCAGCAGCACCAAGAGAAAGATGGAAAAACCTGCAGATAGTGGCTGCAGTCACACGTAACACTGTTCTTATCATTCAGTTTCACTTCAGCTCTTTGTATGTTGACTGGTTGGTGGTACAACAACAGCACAGAAAGGAGTGGCCCACAGACTGACCACTGCCTCCCTCTGACAACAGAGCCCTATGCAGGTTGATGGGCTGTCCACAACTGCTCAGGGACTGCAAACACACCAACTCCACTAAAGAATAATTGTGGCGTAAATAAAACTGACAATTTAACTAAACTCAGGCTGGAGCACTGGAGTTTCATCGAGCATAGAAACCAGGCTCAGTTTCAGCTGCTGTGAACAGAATTTGAGCTCTAACTGCAGGTGCAGTCAGTGTGATAGCCTAGCTGTTACTGTTTCCACATCGGTGTGAGTGTTTTCATGGTTCTTTTAAAGCTCAACCTGAAAACACATCATGGATGCATCATTTCATAGATGCAGCCAAGAAGCAACCTAGGGTTAGTATCTTGCCTATGGCAAGATATTTGTCATGCAGATTGGAGTAGCTAGGGATTAAATCACCAACCTTCTGATTAGCAGATGGCCTGCTCTATCTCCCGAGCAATAGGAGATAATAAACTTTCAAAATGCTGTTTTAAAGTATTTTGGCACAGAGGGATAGGTCTTAATATGACTCAGTGAGTGAATAAATAAAAGTGTTCTGTTGACTCTCCAACATGTTTTCAAGCATATATTGTTGTAGTGAATGTCAGTCAGCTTGGATTGACCTATTCTTATAGGAGTTGTCACGATCTGCAGCTGCAGACTGTGTATGTTTTTGTGAGGACCTAAATGCAGACAACAAGAGGCAAAACTAAATTTTAATAGAAGGCGTATTATGGCAGATACATAACATGAACAGAACAGCTAAACTGATATAAATGCAGAACTGACTATGAAAAATAAATGAATAGGAAAATCAATGCTGAGGAAAACTGAAGCTGTTTTGTGTTCTCAATATCTCGAGACATCTGTTGGAGTGCAGCCATTACACTCTTTGAAAGATTAAAATGATATTTCTTTTACTTCAGTGGGACTGATAACATTTATGTTGGCTCTTTGTTGTTTGTAAAACTTGTTCCTGAAGGTAGTATTAGTTAAAAGTGCATCATTTCAAGATTAATTTGATTTCTGTTTCTGTTTTTCCAGTTTCCCAGCATGCTCTGGCTGTGGTGGTGGAGGTGAATGAGGGTGAAAGGTCTGTCCTGCTGTCATGTCTGTACTCAGGTTCTATACCTGAGGACAACACCACAGTGATGTGGACTTGCAGTGACCTCGATCCCAAATCAGTACACCTACGTCGAGCAGGAAGAGACGATCTTAGAGGACAAAACCAGCGTTACAGAGGGCGCACATCAATGAATCGTTACGCCTTAATCACAAAAGACTTCAGCCTCACTCTGAGGAAACCACAACTGACTGACAGCGGCGACTACACCTGCTCCATCAGCAATGGAAGACAAGAACGGAGTATCAGAACCATCAAGCTGCAGGTCAAAGGTCAGAACAAAACCCAAAGGCCTGTTGTCATAACTCAGTACTGACAAAGACAAACAAAGGTCAGACGTCAAACTGAAGTGAAGTATTTCTTAAGCGGTTCTAAAAGTCTTGATGATACCAGCAGCAACTTTTGACTTCAGATTCACTGAAAACAGCAAAACAAGAATAACAAAGCAGAAGAAAATAGGATCTTGCTGCTACAGCCTTTGGTGATAATAAGAATTACTTAGTTCAGCTTCTGTTCAGAGGTTCATGTCAGGGAGATCCACCACACACACATCTGCACATATATTTATAAGTGCCTGCTGTCATTTTATACATCATTCAACATGAAACATTCAGGTTGTTTTGCCAGAACCAATGTTTTTATGCTAACCCAAAATTTGAATTACTGACCCCCAACATATTCATTATGATCTTTTAGTAACTGTAGCAGCATCTCATAAATAACATTTAACACTGAAAACAAAAAGAGAGAACATTATTGTTAATGGTTGCTGAACAGAGTCAGGTCAGGAATGTAGATACTGTGCTGTGGTCCAGTTACAATCAGTATTACTAGTCCTATATGTTAATATGTTATATGTTAATGCGCTCAGTCATCCAGGTAAGAAAATCCAAAAATCTGTTAGCTTAAACAGAAGTTGTCCTCCTTCTCCCCCCGGATCGCCTGGAGCTTTCTTTAGATGCCTTGCTAATTATAACCAAATCAAGTAACTTGGATGAGTGAGGAAATGTTTTTCCCACAGAAAACGCTATGTCCAGGAACACGATAAACTTTGGGGGGTTCTAGTCCTATGGTTTATATTGCGGTTTCTTGTCCTCTCAGACGAGCAGGTGGAGGTGGAGGTGAGGGAAGGGTCACATTCTGTCATCCTGCCCTGCAACACAAAACCTGACCTGCCTGAGGACACCACAGTGGAGTGGACTCGCTCTGACTTTGGACTCATCACAGTCCATGAGTATTCTAACAGAAATGATGAACTCATGACTCAGGACGAAGTTTATAGAGACCGAACGAAGATGAATGAAGACCTGCTGAGAACTGGAGACCTCAGTCTGACCCTGAAACACCCCACAGAGAGAGACACAGGAGGCTACATCTGCACCATCTACAGGGACAAAGACATCCTGACAAAGAAAGTAGTACTCCAGGTCAAAGGTCAGTGCTGTACACAGAGGTGAGTGCTATAGATATAAGTCAGAAGTCATATTTATTTTCTTTGCAGAACCATTTCCATCCTGGGCCAAACTTGTGTTGGCACTCCTGGTTATCCTGCTTCTTGTTGTGGTTTCTGGAGGTCTTTTATTTCGTTTCCGGCAGTACTTCATGCCAGGTGAGTCACTTCTACTACACTACCCATAATGCCGATGGCTAGCAGGTGTGGCTCCTTGACTGTAGCTCACACAAACTTGTTCTAGAAGCTGAAAGAGTTGAGAGTTAGAGGCTGTATCCCAATTCAGGGTCTGCAGCCTTAAAGTACGCAGCCTCAACGATCCTCAAGGGCCGCGTACTTAAAGACCGCTAAGGCCGGAAGTGCGAGGCTTGTGAAATGGGACGGTCTAGCCTCCGTCGCGCTGCCCAGGTTGCCTAGCAACCATGATACTAACAGCTGGAAACGTTTCATACAGCTTTGTTTGACAGAAATGAAGGAGAAAATATTTTGTTCATTTGTTTGTTTGTTTCTACATGAGCTTTGATCATTCTCTGATTAAGGTCAGCTATTGAACGGCGTATATTTTAAAGTAAAGGCTTTAAAACCAAGTTAGTACAAACGTCACTTATGTCACATAACTTTGCCGACATGTGGCCAACAGGAATGTTTTAATGTTCTTCGTTATTAAACATTTGCACATAAATAAGTGGCATAATATTCAATACTTAGTTTACTAAGTTATTCTTCAGCCGCCCCTCACCCGCCGTTTTTTTTGGCAATATTATCCACACCCACCGCCGCGCTATGCATTCTGGGATATGTTGGGCCACGAAGTCTACACCGCCACATCCTTAAAATTCAGGGAAATGAAGGACGCATTTGAGGGCCGCATTTCAAGCAGCCTTCGAATTGGGACAGCCTTCGTCGCGTCGCTGTGACGTAATCGGCCTTAAAATGCGGTCTTTAAGGCTGCAGACCCTGAATTGGGATACAGCCACAATCAGCTGATACAGAGAGCTGAAGAGAAACTTTCAGGTTTGTTGTAGAAGTCAGAAAAACTCCTTCAGACTCAGTCATTGATCAGTGAAACAGCTGACACAAGTCGTGTCCAAATTCATGGGCTGCATCCTCCTGATGACCCGGCCTTTGCAGTCTACGTCGGTCTACGTGGGCCGGGTCCTCAGAAGGTCTGGTAGGCCGGAAGTAAACTGCTGTGAAATTGGATGGTCTAGCCTCCTGATTAGCGTCTCCACTGTCTCGGTGAAGTTTAATAAACTCGGTCGTCTGCTCCCTGCTATCTAAAATATAACAGGACACTGGAGTAAATTCTCAACCATCTCATTCTTCTGTTTAATCGGTTTTCTGTTTGACGTTTATTCATCTGTGTGAAAACCAAGGAGGATTAATAGTTTTACCTAAACTGATCTAATCTAATAACTTTAATCTCAGCCAAACCGATTTACTCACGAACAAATAAAACACTGAAAAAAGCCCAACAATATCATTTTTAGGTTGTCTAAGTGACTTATATATTACGTTTAACCTGAGTAGCGAAACTCCGCGGTGATCTGAAAATGATGTGCCGGGAGTTGTGCTGTTCTCTGCGGCTTCAGTGACCCTCGAGCTCCCGGCGAGCTATTTTGCCCTCCCTGTACGTTGATGCCCAGTTTGGCAGATAGATAAACAGTTCTTCAAAAGGAGAGGCAAAGGCTTCCAGTTCTCATTGCAGGGTTTATTTGTCTCCCTAATGAAGGCACTGTAAAACTACAAACATAAGAAAAGCATATTAAAACATACATTTGGAACATAATATATTTCTCACATTACAAAGTACAGACTGAAGACTTAGCAACTTGAATTATAGCTGGTATAACCAAGAAAATTTAATGAAAACCTGTTAACACCAAATCCCGCTAGCTTGATGCTAACACATAATGGAATTTCCTATTGACATGCTAACACAATTAGCATCGGCAGTGCAGCTAACATGCCGGCTTCAAATATGAGAGTCAACAACCTATTTTACATCACATGCTTAACATGAACACAGAATATAATCATACTTACAAGCATATATTTCTCATGCTCCAGTACAGCCAACTTCAGAACTAATATTTTGTGTGCTGGTATCAACTTGGCCAGACTCCGTGAACTTTTCCTATATTTACAAGAGAAAATTGAGTACACAAACCCGCTTCCTCCCCCTGGTGGGGTGGTGGAGCTACTGCACCCCAGCAGTGGCAGCACACTAGCTATCGAGCTGGTGGATAACAGACGTCTCTGAAAACATCGAAGCACTTTTGCAAATATGCGATGTCTCGATAAACCAAGCAGATATTTGATGTTTACACAGCTACTTTCTCGCCTGAAAATATGTTAAAAGTTTATTTTGTGACCCAGAAAGATTAGTAAGAGTAATTTTAAAACTTAGTAGCGGCCGCCATTGTTGGAAACTGGAATTTGGCTGGGCCGCGCTATGAATTCTGGGATATGGTAGGCCACGAAGGACACACCCGACCCATCCTTCAAATTCAGGAAAAAGGAGGACGCATTTGTCAGCTGCATTCGGAGGAGTCTACGAATTTGGACAGCCTTCGGCGCGTCGCTGTGACGTAATCGGACTACAAATGCGGCCTCAGGAGCAGTGTTGGGCAAGTTACTTTGAAAAAGTAATTAATTATAGTTACTAGTTACTTCTTCAAAAAAGTAACTGAGTTAGTAACTGAGTTTAAAGATTCTAAAAGTAATTAATTACTTGAAAAGTAACTATTGCGTTATTTTAAAAAAAAGTGTAACCCTCTGGGGTCCAGGGTATAATTGATCATTTTAACTACTTTTGATTTTCCTCCACATTTCACCTTTAAAAACTGTTTACTTTGCCTTGTTTGGTATCATCCTTTTCAGCACAACCTCACGTGTCTGAATTGACATTTATGTTTTCATTTTGAAATACTGTATTAACACAATTGATCTAAAATCAGACAAAAAACATAAAATCCGAGTAGAAAAAAGTTATATTTTTTACTGTAACAACCACAAACATGTTTAATGAATCATATTTTATAACTTTAAATGCAAATATAAATTGTCAATTTTAAAATCCTATGCACAAGTTTTGCAAACAACAAATTTATTTGCAGCCATTTACCTTTTACCTTGATTTTTTAAATAACCATTTCAATCTATTTACAGAACAATCAGCTGTTCTTCAATAAGACGCCACAAATTATTTGTGCCACTCCAAAAAAATAATTTCTGTCCACTATAAAGGAAACATCACAGCCTGATACCTGCAGGTCTGACAGCAGCAGGTGTGTCACTCCTGTTTCTACCTGAAGACAGCAGTCGCCTCATTGTTCTGACACACAACACAAAA